ACAGACAAAGATAACAGTGTGGTGATGGCTTGGGGGAAGGGAGGGTGGGCACTGGGTGGAAATAGGCAAAGGGGCGGGGGGAATTGGGGACTTCTGTAATAGTGGCCACAATAAAAATAAAGTTAGCCCTGGCTGGTGTGGCTCAGCAAATACAGTGCTGGCCTGCAAACCAGAGGGTCGTGGGTTCGATTCCCAATCAGGGCACAAACCTGAGTTGTGGGCCAGGTCCCCAAGTAGGGCTCACTCAAGAGGCTACCACACATTGATGTTTCTCTCCCTCTCTCTCTCCCAGCCTTCCCCCTCTCTAAAAATAAATAAATAAAATCTTTAACAAAATAAAAATAAAAGTAAAGTTAAAAAATATAAAAAGATCGATTTTAGTAGTAATAATCGAAAACCTCCAATTAATAGCGGCCTAAAAAAGACAAAAGTTATTTCTGGCTGTGGAAAGGTCTTAAGTAGGGAGTTCAGGTTTCCGTTGTACTGAACTACAATGTATAAGGTATTCTGGCTCTTTCGGTCATGCTCTTCTTGTTTTGTCTGCTGTTATGACCCCAGACTCATGGTCTATGACGGCAGCACCTGTGTGTCAGGCAAGCTGAGGGAAGGGATGAGCATGAGAGCAAAAGGCGCCTGTGTGCTGTCTCTATGGATAGTTTCTTGAAGTTGTCGCTTGACACTTATGTATGTATCCCTTCGGCCAGAATTTAAGTCACATGGCCAGCTAGTAGCTGAGGAAGCCCGAAAATATATTGTTTACATTTGGTAGCCACTAAATTTCTTTATTATGAAAGACATGTAAGTAGGGGAGTAGATATTGGAGATAACTATTAATCCCTACCATGTTATTTATATTTTCTGTCCCACTACTTCTATACTTTAAACAAAATTTATTTATTTATTTTTAGAGAGAAGGGACAAGAGGGAGAAAGAAGGGAGAGAAACATTGATGTGCGAGAGAAACATGGATCGGTTGCATCTAGCGTGCTCCCAGTTGGGGACCTGGCCTGCAACCTATGCATGTGCCCTCACCGGGAAACGAACTGGTGACCTTTTGGTTTGCAGGACAACGCTCAACCTACTGAGCCAGACCACTATGGGCTACTTCTATACATTTTGATTTACACGTATGGCAATCTGGGCAAGTTATTTTTCCCATTTTATGGATGATGATACTGATTTTTTGGAGATTAAATTAGTTGTACAGCTCAAATAGTGCATGCTTGGCTCTAGAAGGCTAATGACAAGGCCAGTGTGTGGCACAGTGGGGAGTAAAGTGGTGGTCATCTATCACTGCATGACAGAGGAGCCAAATACCACTGAAAACAAGTATTTTGAAATGGAGAACAAAGTTCTATGGAATGGGTAGAAATTTTGTGGATGGAATGGAGAATATGTGTGTGTGTTTTTTCATCAGACTAGCTTATTTCCTGGGTGAGGATTTATTTGAAAACAGACTTAAAAATTGCATTAGTTATCTATGGCTGCCATATCAAATTTCCCTGAACTTACTGGCCCATAACATTTACTGTCTGACCATTCCTGTAGGTTAGGGTTAGGAGTCCAGACGTGGCTTAGCTGGCTCCCTTGGCTCTGGGTCTGTCATGGCTGTGATCATCTCACATCTTGCATGGGGTGGATTTCCTTCCTAGCTCATTTAGTTCCTTAGTAAATTATTGGACTGAAGTATCAGTTTGTCATGACCTGTTGGTCAGAGGCTTCTTTGGTTTCCTTGACATGTGGCCTTTGCACAGAGCATCTCACAACCTGGCTTGTTTCATCAGAGCAAGCAAGCAAGAAGGCCAGCGAGAGGGCCAGCAAGGTTAAGATGGAAGTCGCAGTGTTTTGTAACCTAATTATGGGAGTGACATCTCATTACTTGTTCTGTGTTGTTCATTAGAAGGAAGTCACTAGGGCAAGTCCTCAGTCAAGAGGGAGAAATTGCACAAGTGCACGAATACTAGGGAGAAGGGGCCACTGAAACTTTGTCAGAAGCTGCCTCACACAAACAGTTCAAAACTGGGAGAAAGTCCTCCAAATACAGCAACTTGACATCATCACATGTACTGGCCACATGGGATGATAATGTCTAAGTGGTGAAGTAGATAATGCCTAAGTAATTTTAGATTTTGGTTTCCGTATTTGGTTACTTGAACTGCTTTAATTTTGGTAAGATGCTAATACACACAGCCTTCTTTCCCGAAGTATAGAGCTGATCCAACTCATTGAATTTAATTAGAGAAATCTTAATTTCTTATTCAATGTTGATCCTCAATAGATAGCGAGCTGTTAGAAGGCAGGGTCTGTGGATGCAGCTTGTGTGTTGCTACATCCCGAACCTCTAGCTTGCACACTGACTGGAGCAGATTAGTGTTCGTGCGTGCTTACTGAAGGAGCCCCTGGAAATGGACTTGGGCTTCCCCGATACTACTGGAAATTGAGACTGCTGTGTGCGCATTTCTCTCACTGATTCGTCGTGTGATCCCTGATTAATAGCTTCATCAGTGATTCATATCTTTTGATTTAACAATTTCACTTAAAGTTTGTATCATTAGTTTACAAAAATAATCTGATATAGGAGTGTTTGTCACAGCATGTACCAGTAAAAATAAATAATTGTTATCCTATTATCAATAAGGAATTACTTCAGTCAATTATGGAGAACTATGCACTTGTTAGGAATGAATATGTAGATTTGCTTGTTATTATGGAAAATTGTCCACAGTATGTGAACAGCAAAAAAGTTTATAAAACTACATGAAATACCCAACTTTTGTTCAAAAAAAGAAATGAAATAGATATGTATTTGACCAGTCATGCACATATGCTTAGAAAACTTCTGGAAGTGTACAACGAAATGCTTAACAGTGGTTTTTCTTTTATGGATGGTATTAGCAAATTATTTCTTTTTATCATCCTATATTGTTTATTTTTAATTGTGGTAAAATGTATAACATAAAATTTACTATCCTGGCCATTTTGAAGTGTTCAGTTCAGTATTGGTTTGTACGTTCACCTTGTACAACCAATTCCAGAATTCTTTTCATCCTGCAAAACTGAACTGATACCCAGTAAAAGTAACAAGATCCCATTCAAAACATCAAGCCTTTCCAGGCATGTTGCCTCTGGCAAGCACCATTCTATCTTCTGTCTGTATTTGTCTCTATTCTAGGTACCTCATATAAGAGGAATGATACAATATTTTTCTTTTGTAACTGGCTTATTTTATTTAGCATAATCTCTTCAAGGTTCAGCCATGTTATAGCACGTGTAAGAATTTTCTTTCTTTTTAAGGCTCAATAATATTCCATTGTATGTAGAAGTCACATTTCTTTGTCAGTGGACACTTGGATTGCTCCCATCTTTTGGCTTTTGTAAATAATGCTGCTATGAACAAGGGGGTGGTGCAGATATCTGAGACCTGCTTTCAGTTCTCTTGGGTGTATACCTAGATATGGAAATGCTGGATCGTATGGTAGTTATATTTTTAATTTTTTAAAGGAGCCACCACACTATTTTCATAGAACCTGTACCATTTTGCATTCCCACCAACAGTGCACCAATTCCAATCTCTCCACTTTTTTTGATAGTAGCCATACTAATGATTTTGAGGTGGTTCTGTGTTATTTATTTTTTGGTGTGTTGCTATTATTTTTTATATTCACAGTGCACAATAAAGATATTTCCATTTTATAAGAATTGAATGAGTTAACGACTTTAGTTGGTTTTTTCGTATTTAGTATTATTTCTTTTACTGCCGGTGCTGCATTTATTTCATATGCAGTAGTGAAGTTTTTGTTGTGATATTAGGGTTGATTTTTAGGATAAATCAAAAGCTTGATGCTGAGGAGTATTTTGAGTTTTTAGTAAAGAACTGTGACTATCATAGTAAATGTCTTGTTTTTAAGCACTAGAAGTTGGAAACACCAGACTTAGTAAAATTGGGAACACCAGTTTTAGTAAAAAGTAACTACTGATTTTTTGAGAGAATATTTTTGTTCACCCTTTATTGACTTATTAAGCTTATGTGTACTGGTGTGTTTTGATAAACAACTTGATCTGAGGTAATATTTATCATAAAATTAACCTGCTTTAAATATACAGTTCAATGATTTTTTGTAAATGTACTGAATGTTGCAACCATCACGGTAATCTAGTTTAGAAAATTTTCTTACTCCCAGAAACATCCCTGGTGACCAGAACTTTTTTGGCCATATAGACTTGGTGGCAAAAGATTTCTGATAACAGAACTGTATTTATTCTCTTAAAAAAATGCAAATGTGTTCTTGTTCTGTTCACCTGCACCAAATATACACATCATCAAATAGTACAGATTTTAATTTCAGGGAGTACACAATGATAATGCATGATGTGTTTTGTATTTTCCAAACGTTGAGCAAGGAAAATGTTGCATCAGACATAAACATTCTTTCATGTTTATTTTAGAGAGTACCAATTAAATATTTTTTAGTTTGACTTTAGTTTTTGATCTTTTACCGCTGGCTTATTTTAAGCAGATCACAGTAGACAAGATTGAGAAGCTAATGAAAAGCCCTTTCAATTATTTGCTGCACATAAACATCAAAACCTTCCTAGGCAGGTCATTCTTATAGATAATTAAAATGATAAGGAACTAAACAGATAGAACAGTTTATCAGATTAATAAATGCAGCAGCTTGCAAATTGCTATTTTCCTTCTGTTTCACCAGAGGGCACTCTTTTCTAGTTTATTACTTTTAACTGATCTATTTAATTAATATTTTATACTTTGAAAAATGTAAGTCCTTTATTGGGATCCAGATTTGGATTGTTTGGAGACTGCTGATTGTTTTCTTTTGTGATTGTCAGTCATTTTTATTTTTTGTGATCTGTTTTATAATTGTGTCATGAAAAAAGGCTCTACAAACAGTGTACCTGGCATAAAATGGCTCTTTGATTTACCCCTTTTTCACTAACAACAGCTCTATAATGTCACTGACTTTGTTTGTTGGTATGCTAAGGTTTCAGATCGGGTGGAGCGACGGCTTCAGGAAATAGAGAGAGAGATGCGCACAGAAAGAGAGCTGGTGGAAAGACGTCAGGATCAACTGGGACTCATTTCTTTGCAGCTACAAGAGGTTTGTGAAAAACACCTTCTCAGAATGTTAATCTTTCTGAGTCCCAGAATGTTAGTCTTTCTGAGTTTGGATATTTGTTTAGTTATTGTTAAAATGGTAATGATTCCTTAGCTGTTGCACGTGATGGTATTCAGCCCACATGAGAAATGTAGCATATTGGTTACAGTTTAATGGGTGAAGACAACCCTCTTTGGGTCAAACCCAGAGTCTACTGCTTGCTGGCTGTGAGACCACAGGCAAGTTTCTAAGCTTTTCTAGGCCCATTTCCTCTGTGGAAAATGGAAGTGATCATGGTTTTAACCTGATCTACTTGGTGCAAGGATGAATGAGTTGATGTCAGTAGAGCACTTAACGTGGTGTGTGCAATGTGCTCAAAAATGGTAACTGAAAGTATAGTACTCTGATTAAATTTTCTAGACATACAAAGGTCAGCAAACTGGGGCCAAATGGACTAAATCTGTCCCATTTTTGTAAATAAGATTTTACTGGAACACAGCCATTCCCATTCACTTCCAGTTTTTCCAGGAGTGCTTTTGTGACGCAATGGCAGAGTTGAGTAGTTGTGGAAGAGACGGTATGGCCCACAAAACCTAAAACATCGACTGGCCCTTTATAGAATGAATTTGTCAGCCCCTGGACTAGACCATCATCAAACCAGTTAAAAATAGAGGTCACTTACTTTTTAGATACCCTCTTCATTTTGAAATTCCAGGCTTATGAAGAAGTTGAAAAATTAGAACAAAGAATTTCTGTATATCTTATACCCAGATTCCCCCAGTATTTGGATTTTACTAGACTAGCTTTATCACTTTTTGTATGCATATTCATACACACACATTTTTTTGAGTTGGTTGCACATATGATGTAAATATTTTTGCACTTAAATAATATGGTATGTGTGTTCTCTTCCTTAATCACAGCACATTAACGTGGGATCAATACTATGATTTAGTCTATAGGATTTATTCCAATTTTGCCACTAATGTCTTTTTCTGGTCCTGTGCAGGGTCACCTACAGCATTTGACTGTCATGTTTCTTTAGTCTCCTTTAATCTGGAACGGTTTTTCAGTCTCTCTTTGTCATTCCTACCTTGACACTTGTAGAGTACTCACCAGTTATTTTGTAGAATGTCTTTCATTTTGGGTTTGTTGATGTTTCCTCACAACTAGATTCAGGTTATGGACTTCTGGCAGGGAACCCAGAGCCCTGACATTTGAGCCCATCCGGATGTCATGACAGGATGTACGTAATGTTGATCTATCCCATTGCTGGTGAAAAACTGAACCTTTGGTTGAGGTGTGGTCTGCCAAGTGTTTCCACTATAAAGTTGCTGTTATGTATTTTTTAATTATTTCTTTTATGGGGAGACTCTTTGAGACTTGCAAATAGCCTATTTATTATTATACACATGAATTTTAGCATCTATTGTTGATTCTTATCTGGTGAAACACTTATTACTGTAAGGGATGCTAAGTGGTGATTTTTTGAAAAAAATTCCATCATTTTGTTTATGTGTGTTAGTTGGAATCCTACTGTAAGGAAGGGTTTTGCCTTTTTCTTTCTTCATTCATTCATTTTTATTGGTATAGATTTGTGAATTCTCATTTTATTACATTAGTTATGTTTTAAAAAATTTTGTTCATTGATTTTAGAGAGAGAGAAGAAAGGGTGGGGAATACACACACACACATGCACGAGAGAGAGAGAGAGAGAGAGAGAGAGAGAGAGAGAGAGAGAGAGAGGGAGGGAGAGGGGATATATCATTGATTTGTTCTTCCACTTATTTATGCATTCATTGCTTGCTTCTTATATGTGCTGTACCAGGGATTGAACCTACAGCCTTGGAATATCAGGATGACACTCTCATTAACTGAGCTACTCAGCCAGGGCCAACATTTGAGTTTTATTATTATTATAGAAAACAAATTTGTCAAAATTCCCTTAAAATGTTTTTTAGATCTATGCATAAATTAAACAATTAGAAATAAGAAAACAAAAAGATTAAAAACAGAAGGGATTTTTTCTTTTACCAGATGTTTTTCTTCAAAACAGATATTCTGCAAATCCACTCATTTGTGCCTGAAGATTATTGACCCTTATTAATTGACAGATTAAAAAAAATGTTAAAGTAAATACACTGATGATTGAAAATTAGGAACAAAAATTGCAATGCTGAAATTATAATGTAAGCTGATAGAAAAATCTGCTTTTGTTTTCTAAAATTCTGTTTTCCTTCATTTCACAAAAGAGACATACCCTTTTTAGTTGGTAATTACTTTGAAGAGGATACTTTGTTGAATAATTAGATAAGCATGTGGGTAGCCTTTTTTTTTTTTAACCTTGATTTTTATACATTTGTTCTCAGAGCAAATTGCATCTGGTGAGCGTAATAATAGTAACTGAAGAGACAATTGTTCTCTTTTGTAAGAGAAAATTAGAGAAATTTTCCATACTATTTTCTTCTTTCTTTGCAGAATGCACAAAATTACAAAGAAAGAGGTAGAGGAAGATTGCTTCCCATCCCCTTTGAGAAACTGGAACCTGAATATTTGCATTGTAATTGTCAGTTTGACTAAAAGCTTGAGCTGTGATTTGGAATTCCATCTTTGACAGTACAATAGAGGATCACTATTGATAAGAACTATTTAATTTCATATTTTGTCACTTTAATATAAGCAGTGACCTATATGCTTTTAAAAGGTGGTTCTGGATTAAATAGTGCAGTGGAAACTGGGAAGTATTAATTTAGGCTGGTGTGTTTCCCTGCTCCCAAGTTAAGCGGCTGAGACTTTTCTGGAAAAGGTTGTGTTTAAGGAGAGAAAACACTTTGCTTTCTTTTCAATGTTAAAAAAATACTTATGGAAATACCTATATTGTTTGATAATAGTAATTGGTGTATTTTATTTCTGGCTATGGAAAGAAATTGAATCTGTAGGTGAAAAAGCATGCCTGTACTTTTAGCCATTCTGTCTCCCTAAAATATATAATAAATGTTAGTGAAAATTATGACATTTAAAAGTAGTTAGATTAGGGGTGTTTATTAAAAATTCCAGGATATCAGAGGTTTCTAGGTATAATATCATATTACAGGGAGACAGTCTGTGCCTTTGGCTAAAACCCATTTCTTTTTAGTGATCTAATAGGTCCTGAGAGCTTTATCTTTTTCCATTTAATTAAAAACAGTATTGATCATTGAAAATCAGTTGCAGGAAAGCCACTCTCCTTTTCTCGTTTAGATTTTAAAGAATTGTTGACTCTTCTGTTTTTCAGTTTTATGTCTTTTCTGTTAGTCTAAGCAAAGGGGCTGTGCATACTCTGGAATCCGTTCCCTTTTTTAAGGCTCTACTGCTGTGCTGCTGATGCCACATGAATGTCAGATTTTCATGACTCTGTGAAGATCGTCACTGGCCTTCAGACCTCCAGTGTCACAGGTTAAACAACATTGTTTTGGTACCTCAGTAGAGGTCTCTTTAGAGAGATGAGTGTTGTAGTTCTGCAATAATGTTCTTTTCATGTATCTTCCAATTTTAAATGGTTGTGCTAGTATTCTGAACTTTTACTAATCAGATTCAAATGTAAGCCCATTATCAATCTTTCCTTGTCGAACCATTGTACAAATGAGAAAGTGTTTGTTTAGGACTTCCGGCCAAGATGGAGGCATACTCTTTGCCTCCTCGCACAACCAAAAGAAAGACAGCAAGAAATTTAAAAACAAAAAATAACTAGAACTGCCAGAAAATTGAACTGTATGGAAGACCTACAACCAAGGCGTTAAAGAAGAAACATTCATTCAGACTGATAGTAGGGGTGGGGACGGGCAGCAAGGCTGTGGTTGGGGAAGCAGGCAGTCCCACATTTGTGTACAGACAAACCAGGAGGAACAAATGGGGAGCAAGACAGACTGCGCAACCCAGGGTGCCAGTGCAGGAAAAGAGAGCCTCAATACCTCTGGCTGTAAAAATCTGTGGGGGTTATGGCAGCAGAAGAAACTCCCAGCCTCACAGGAGAGTTTTTTGGAGAGACCCACAAGGTCTTAGAATGTACACAAATCCACCCACCGAGGAATAAGAACCAGAAGGGCCTATTTGCTTGTTGGCAGCAGGGAAAGTGACTGAAAGTGGGGAGAGTGCCGAACAAATGACATTGTTCTGTCTCTGACCCCTCCCCCCACGTATAGTGCTATAGTGCAGCAATGTCGGTTACCCCACCCTGGCAAATACCTAAGGCTTTGCCCCTTACAATGTAACAGGCACACTGAGACAAAGAAATATGGCCCAAATGGAAGAACAGATCAAAACTCCAATAATACAACTAAATAGTGAAGAGATAGCCAACCCATCAGATGCATAGTTCAAAACACTGGTAATCAGGATACTCACAGAAATGGTTGAGTATGGTCATAAAATAAAGGAAAAAGTGAAGGCTATAAAAAGTGAAATAAAGAAAAACACACAGGGAACCAGCAGTGAAGGGAAGGAAACTGGGACTAAAATCAACGATTTGGAGCAGAAGGAAAAAATAAATATTCAATCAGAACAGAATGAAGAAACAAGAATTCAAAAAATGAGGAGAAGCTTAAGAACCTCCAGGACAGCTTTAAATGTTCCAACATCTGAATCATAGGGGTGCCAGAAGGAGAAGAGGAAGAGCAAGAAATTGAAAACTTATTTGAATAAACAATGAAGAAGAACTTCCCCAATCTGGCAAAGGAAATAGACTTCCAGGAAGTCCAGGAAGATTAGAGAGTCCTGAAAAAGTTGGACCCAAGGAAGCATACACCAAGGTACATCATAATTACAGTACCCAAGATTAAAGATAAGGAGAGAAAAGCAGCAAGATCTTAAAAGCAGCAAGAGAAAAGCAGACAGTTACCTACAAAGGAGTTCCCATAAGACTGTCAACTGATTTCTCAAAAGAAACCTTGCAGGCAAGAAGGGGCTGGAAAGCAGTATTCAAAGTCATGAAAGGTAAGGACCTACATCCAAGATTACTCTATTCA